GTGTCTCTTCTGGCTCTAGAGACACTGCACGGCCGCGGCCGTACTTCATTCCGCTCCTTCAGCAGGTTCTTGGTCAGCCTCCTCCTCGTCGTCCTCCTCCCTCCTTAGAGTGTCCTCCGTCTGTCCAGTCGCAGTCACAGCTGCCGCCTGCCTCGCCCCTTCCTGGTCTTTCTCCCTGCACAAGTCCTACAGGCGGTCTTACAGAGCGTCGTGAGCCAGAGTCTCGTCCTGTGTCGCCTGTGTCTCGTCCTACGTCACCTGTTCGTGCTGCTCGCACTGCTAGCCGTGTTCCGCGTGAGCGCCCTCCTGATGTCCCCGGCACACACTATATGACTCTGCGTCCTTCCACTACTCCCCAGCGTGTCCCTCTCCCGTCTCCTCCTGCGTCCTCTCTTCCTGCTCTTGCTGACCCGGAGTCAGACTCCCTTCGCGCTACCAGTCCTACTGTCACACGTCTCCTCGCTACTGTTGTCAATGACCCTTCCTTTGAGTCCGCTGCTGCGTCTGCCTTAGTTGCTGAGCTTGTCGACTTTGCTGCCACCTGTCGTCTAGACTACGCCGCTAGCCTAGTTGCTGAGTCTGAGTCTGTCTGTCCTCCGTCCGTCGGGGGTGAGTGTGCTCTTGGCACGGACGTTCTTGAGGACAGGCAGAAGGAGTTTGAGTGCTTCGCCGCTGCTTTACCTCATCTCGTGTCCATGCTAGTTGCCCCTGAGGGAGATCCGGATGCACCAGACATCCCGACTCCTCGATCGTACGCTGAGGCGATCGAGAGTCCCTACTCCTCTCACTGGCAGTCAGCCATGGACGCAGAGATGGCTTCCTGGAAGTCCACAGGTACCTACATTGACGAGGTTCCCCCACCTAGGGCGAACATCGTCAATGGTATGTGGATTTTCAGGGTGAAGCGGCCGCCGGGTTCTCCGCCTGTCTTCAAGGCGCGTTACGTTGCACGAGGCTTCACTCAGCGAGAGGGAGTGGACTTCTTCCATACCTTCTCCCCGACCCCGAAGATGACCACTCTTCGGGTTCTGCTGCACGTCGCCGCTCAGTGTGACTACGAGCTCCACTCTCTTGACTTCAGCACTGCTTTCCTACAGGGCAGCCTGCACGAGGAGATCTGGCTGCGCCGCCCACCTGGCTTCACTGGGTCGTTCCCTCCTGGTACCTAGTGGAGCCTCCGGCGGCCAGTCTACGGTCTCCGACAGGCACCGTGTGAGTGGCATGACACACTGAGGACTACACTTGCGGCTCTTGGGTTCGCTCCCTCTACTGCTGACCCGTCGCTGTTTCTACGCACCGACACTTCGCTGCCGCCGTTCTACATCCTCGTGTACGTCGACAACTTGGTCTTTGCCACTGCTGATACTGCGGCACTCGCCCACGTGAAGTCGGAGCTGCAGAAGAGACACACGTGCACAGACCTGGGTGAACTGACAAGCTATCTTGGCTTGCGGATCACCCGGGACAGAGCACGGCGCACCATCACCTTGACTCAGTCACACATGGTGCAGCAGGTCCTTCAGCGCTTCGGCTTCACGTACTCCTCGCCTCAGTCCAGTCCTCTGCCTACAGGTCACTCGCTCTCAGCTCTGCCTTCGGATGAGTCAGTAGAGCCGAGTGGCCCGTATCCAGAGCTTGTGGGCTGCCTCATGTACCTGATGACCTGCACTCGACCTGACCTTGCATACTCTCTTAGCATCCTTGCACGGTATGTAGCTCCTGGCCGTCACCGGAAGGAGCACATGGATGCTGCTAAGAGGGTGTTGCGCTACCTGTGAAGTACGTCGGGCATGGGGCTAGTGCTTGGAGGACGAGACCGAGTTGTACTCACTGGGCACTCAGACGCTTCTTGGGCTGACGACCAGGCTACTCAGCGGTCGTCACAGGGTTACACCTTCAGCCTTGGCTCTGGTTCAGTTTCTTGGCGTTCTACTCGTTCTTCTTCTGTTCTCAGCTCCAGTTGTGAGGCTGAGATCTACGCCACAGCCATGGTTGCACAGGAGTTACGCTGGCTCACCTACCTGCTGACCGACCTGGGAGAGCGGCCTAGTTCTCCTCCAGTGCTGTAGGTCGACAACAAGGCTACCATTGCCTTGTGTGAGGAGCACAGACTGGAGCACAGAACAAAGCATATCGCTCTGCGGTACTTCCTTGCTCGAGAGCTGCAGCAGCGTGGTCAGCTTCGTCTGCGTTACGTGGCCACTCGGGCCAACACTGCTGATGTGTTCACCAAGGCGCTTCAGCCTGGTGACCATCAGAGTTTCTGTACTGTTCTAGGCCTTGTGCCTACTTTCCCTCACTTGCTCACTTCTTGACTTTGCTTGTACTGTGATCTCTATATATATACCTGCATGCTTACACTTGTTAGGTTGTGATCACTGTATCTCTTGATATATTATCAAACTGCATGTGAACTGGTCTTGTGACCGCTTACTTGTGCTCGGAATTCGTGTGGTATCCTTGAGATCCACCCTAAGCTTGTTTTGCCTTGGTTTGCTTTGACTGGTCTTGTGACCCCTTGCTCTCCCCCACTTCGCCTATGGGGGTGTGTCAAACATTATATATGTTGCAGTTGTTTAGGCTACAGTGGGTTAGCCTTTAGGGGGTACACAATTCTAGGTTTAGGTACTTGTACTTACTTCTCTCTCAATTCAATCATTCATTCTCTAACACAGAATTGATGGCGTCATCACTTGGACAGGAGGTTGTCGGTGCTGAATTGTTTGTGTCGAGAGAGATGGTGTGCGGGGCGGTTCCACGGTCAGTTGTAACTAGTTGAGTAGGTTGGGAGGTTCGCGCGTCGCCATTCCGCAATGTTTGGAGTCCTTGCTACAAAGTTGATAGTCGTTGAAGTAGCTGCACGAGGGCGGCAGAGCTAATTGTAGTTGTCGCCTATGATGTCGCAGCAGGGTTGGGCTGAGCTTCAACCGTTTGATTTTCTTTGCCTCCAGATCCTCCGGCCATTCTGAAACGTGAGCGTGTGCCACTCGCCACTTGGGTCGTGCAGATCTTCGGAAGTGGGTGTGCAAAGAATCCTTGAGTAGCTCTCATACCATGTTACTATCACAAAGGGGAATTAGTCAGGATCGGCTCGGGACGGATCGCAGAGATATTGCAGTGGAAGTGAGTCACCTCAGATCATAGTAAATGTAAATGACTGATGTGATTTTAGTAGATGCATACATTGGTGTATATAGGAATACAATGGAATACTAAAAGTCATAACTAGCCATATACTCTAACTAGTACATTCCCTTACAACAGCGAAGTCCAACCGTGCGGCGCAGGAGCCCGTTTTAAACACGTTCCCACCAATTCTGGTTCAAATGCATCTGCCTGCATCAGTCTTTATCTAACAGCTGTCGATGTCGCTTCGGCTCGCCTGTCTCTTCGGCTTCATCCTCGGTACTGCTTGCTCCAGTTACGTAAGAGAATGCCTTTCTCATTAAACCCATATCGCAATAGTCATCACCATTCTCTCGAGATACCTAACTTAGTTTCTAAGACCTGGAGGGGTAGCAGTTGCATGCATAAATACTCTGCCAAGGGAAATCATAATCAATCTATTCTATTGCAAGTTTACATATTTTTCTATGCTGGAACTAAGCCTTTCTTGAATAAAAATGAGGTCGGGGTGTGGAAAGTCCAAAAGCGGCACCCTTAATGTAGATAATAATGGGGCACTGTAAGGCAAATTCATTTTCCTTACCAGTACTTCGCGCTCCCGCTTACCGCGTACATAACAATTCCCGCCAACAGTAAACCATTACCACTCACGAGACTCGCCTCGACCACTGTTCTCGCCACTGTTCACATCGCACCCGAACCTCACGGCTCAGTTTGTAACCCGCGCTCCGATCCTCCGCTTCGACATTTCCCAACCTTGGCGCCAGGTTCGTCTCGCACCCCACATTTTGCGCGTTACCCTTACCACGCTAGTTCGCTATATAACATTCGCTCATTCATGTTACGAATAGTAAATTAAGAAAGGCACTGTGCACTATTGATGACAACAAGCGAAGCACGGAGTACCGAAACTGAAGACGAAGAGACGAAATGACGGAAGAGTCGCGCACGGTTACGAAAGATCTTGACCGTTAAGGCAGACCGCATCAAGCAGCAGAAGTGGCGAGGATTCTGCCGGAACAGTCTGTAGCCGTCTGGATTCGCACGGTTGGATTTCGCTGCAATTATCGGAATGTACCCCTTAGAGTACATGGCTAGTCTAGGTCGTTTCACATTCCCTTGTACTCTTATTTATATGATTGTATTTGCATGCTTTTAACCATCTCAGTCATTTTATATTCACTCTGATCCGAGGTCAAGGGCCCACCACTACCACACATTCTCTGCGAACCTTCGCGAGGTGATCCTAGGGCGATCAATTTCTGATCGCAACAATTACTTCGCTCAATGTTCTGCTTTGTTTCGATAGTGCAATCTTTGTTTGCTCACTCAATTGCGTCGGTACCGGCACACATGACTTACAAATCTGTTGGGGTAGTATCAACATCGTGTAGCTTGTGTCGAATTCATTTTCGCGAAGACATTGCTACCCTCGTTGTTACATCAACTTTTGCTGACTTTCTGCAGCGCAGATGAGATTGTCGTGAAAGCAAGGCGCTCCGACAACGAACCCTTGCGTTGCGCCTTTTCTTCGTTTGAGGGGTCCGGACCGCCCGTGGTCATCGGCGGATGGTTCAGTATCAACCTAGATCAATCCCACGCTGCTTCCCAGCGCTTCGATTGGACCCTCAACATCATCCCTGTCTCGAACCCTTTTATCCCCTCACCCTTGCTTGTTCTTGTAAACCAGTTCCAGCTGACTTGCTCTTCATTCCCATCCCAACCAGCACCTGCTGGCTAGTATCACCCAACTCTCTATTATCCTCAGTGGTTGGTCCCATTCCTCGATTTCAGTAGTTACGCAGTGCAGATACTCACAGCCGCTTCGTCTCAGGCATTTATCGTGGTGGTGCTGCTCAGTACAGATAGCAGCCATGTCCAAGTCTCTTCTTTTTTTCGCGGTTGTGCTGCTGGCTGCTTCACTGCCTTGTCACGCCTTCCGCTCATCTCGAGTCAGTACCTCGTAGCGCGTTCTTAAGCTTTCGCGCATCAGCTCAAAATTTTTTTTTTTCCTTCAGCTCCAATCATGTGCAACCGTCGTTGCGCGCGTGACTTCCGCGGGAAGAATAAAAGCTCGTCTTGAAAGCTTGGCTTTATCATCTCTTGGTGATTGCAGATGTTACAGGATGACCACAACAAGCTCTTTCCCAAGCTTCCAGGCCTTTCTGCCAAGGTGCGGATCTGCGCTGCACGCGGCATTCCGAAAACACTTGCAACGCCTCCTCCGTCTCAATCAATGTTCCTTTTCTAGTAATATTCCCTCTAAAAAATTAAGCGTTTATCTCGTAACCGTCTCATGCGGCTCTCTGTCCTCTTGCGACTCGCAGATCGTCGTTCCAACGACGGTAAAGGCGAAGCACGAAGAGGCTGCAACGGCTGAGATCACTCAGGAAGGCGGCCCTTCCGACGTGCCTATTGACTCATCGACGGTCATTCCCGACACTCCCGCCGATACCGTCGCTCCTGAAGACCCTGCCGCCGTTACCGACCCTGCCACCGTTACCGACCCTGCCACCGTTACCGACCCTGCCACTGGTACCGACCCTGCCACCGTTACCGACCCTGCCACCGGTACTGACCCTGCCCCTTTGACCGACCCTGCCCCTGTGACCGACCCTGTCCCGGTTCCCGAACCCCGTGATAGCACGGCCGGTGGCGATCCCGCCACTACTTCCGGCGACGTCCCGGTCGTCCCCGCGCAGGCGTCCGCTAGCGGATCTTCCCCCCCTCCCCCGCCCCCCGGGGGTGAATGCCCCCCCACCGGCACGGAGTGCGACTTCTACTTCACGGGTTTCCAGAACTCCGTGCCGACGTTCACGCTGCCATCGGGCGGCGGTGACGTGGCGATCAGCCCGGCTATCGAGGCTTCGGTGAAGGGGAGCGTTGTGAACGTGATCGCGCTCAACTCGCAGACGACCAAGTACATTTGCAACAGCGCCTCTATTCCCGACAACAACCAGTTCTACGTCGTTCAGGATGTAAGTCTACTGCAGGATACCTTGTCCAATTAGCATCCGCGTCTGCATTACTGTAGATATATTTACCGTGTGGTTGCGAACTTGCGATTTCTTCAACGCGTCCTTCCGTGGGCCGCAGGTGGTTCAAGTGCGGACGATTCAACCGCAGGACAACGGCACGTACAACGGTTTGTACGTCAAGATCCCCATTTCGAACGCGGAGATTGAGGTCTACAACCAGGTGTTCAACCTCAACCCCAACGACGGCTCCTCTTCCTTCCCCGAAGACCGTCGCTGCGTCATCTTCCAGACGTCGTAGACTCGTTAGTGCAATCGATTAATCGATTTGAGCTTGGTGCTCCCAAATGGTTGGGTTGTAGGCTGTTCCGTAATTGGAGGTTATGGCCTCGCCTGGGCACCGCTTGATTCTCTGTTCATGGGTGTTGGGGTTTCGGTTTCTTAGTGTCTTGAATTACGTAGAGGTTGGGGTGTCTGTTGTTGAAGCTAGCTAGGTGTGGGGTTATGTTGGACTAGGTTGAATAATATATATCTGACCAAGCTTTTGCGTTGCGTGCTGCGTACGTCTAACACGCAAACCACGAGATCAGATAGTAGTGTGGAGTAGAATTTTGTGTTATGCTGTCTGATCTCCATGGGGAGGTGCTTTTGACGAGGTTCTTGCAAGTTCAGGCACACCTCCATCACGAGGAAACAACACTTGCTCCAAACCACTGAGAAGAGATTTGTTATAAATCGTCGTCACTAATACGGTAGCCGACTCGTTTTCATGTACAGTCACAAAAGAAGAGATGTGTGGTGATTATCTCTTGTTACCACATCCATCAAGTAATGTAACAACAGCCTAACGCATCTAGTCAGTACAAGGTAAAGAACCAAACTCCCCCTGATTCCCCCATTTCCCCCCTAGTGTTATGCTGTCATGCTGATAAGCCCAGATTGAACAGATTCCGTTCTGTGGTTGGTTCCGGTAGGGTTTGGCTGGCTGCATGTTTCAGCTCAAGCGAACCACAGCTAATGACCAGTTTCATCTTCTGATTCTGACAAAATCAAGTGTTGTTGACAGTTGAATAACACAAGAATCACACCACTGCTTTCATGCAGAGGCACCTGTCACCAGCAGCAAGGCGAGCAACAAAGGAACCGAGGAAAAGCTCCAACTGGAGCTGAGACGGCACCGCACCAGCAGCCACCTGCAGTTGATCCGAGATAATCAACAGAATGGGAGGGAGTGAGTGAGTGCTAAGGCAGGGTGAGAAAGGTGCCCTTGCGAGGCGGAGAGGAGAGGAGAGGAGAGGAGAGGAGAGGAGAGGAGAGGAGAGGAGAGGAGAGGAGAGAAGAGGAGAGGAGAGGAGAGGAGAGGAGAGGAGAGGAGAGGAGAGGAGAGAAGAGGAGAGGAGAGGAGAGGAGAGGAGAGGAGAGGAGAGGAGAGGAGAGGAGATGAGAGGAAAACTTTGAAGGCAAGACATGAGTTTGAAGCTTGGAAGCAAAAGACGTGGTAGCATGCATATCTGCAAAAGGTTCCCTTGAGTTTTCGAGAGAATCTCACCTCATTGAAGCCATGCCTCTCATAAAAGGCCGTCCTGCCACATTTTTTACAGCACAGTGAGGAGGACACACAGGCCAAGGAACAGGCAATCGAGAAAGAAAATGCCTAAGGTATTTGGAGTAGAGTTCAGGGATGGAGAAAACATAGAAGAAGAGAATGGCAAAAGACATGAAGGAATGTAACAACGGAAAACAGGGAAAATGGACAGTGAAGTGGACATGGATAGTGAAGAGGACATGGATAGTGAAGTGGACATGGATAGTGAAGTGGACATGGATAGTGAAGAGGACATGGATAGTGAAGTGGACATGGATAGTGAAGTGGACGTGGATAGTGAAGTGGACATGGATAGTGAAGAGGACATGGATAGTGAAGAGGACATGGATAGTGAAGAGGACATGGATAGTGAAGTGGACATGGAAAGTGAAGTGGACATGGATAGTGAAGTGGACATGGATAGTGAAGTGGACATGGATAGTGAAGTGGACATGGATAGTGAAGAGGACATGGATAGTGAAGTGGACATGGATAGTGAAGAGGACATGGATAGTGAAGTGGACATGGATAGTGAAGTGGACATGGATAGAGAAGAGGACATGGATAGTGAAGTGGACATGGATAGTGAAGAGGACATGGATAGTGAAGTGGACATGGATAGTGAAGTGGACATGGATAGTGAAGTGGACATGGATAGTGAAGAGGACATGGATAGTGAAGTGGACATGGATAGTGAAGTGGACGTGGATAGTGAAGTGGACATGGATAGTGAAGTGGACATGGATAGTGAAGTGGACATGGATAGTGAAGTGGACATGGATAGTGAAGTGGACATGGATAGTGAAGTGGACATGGATAGTGAAGAGGACATGGATAGTGAAGTGGACATGGATAGTGAAGAGGACATGGATAGTGAAGTGGACATGGATAGTGAAGTGGACATGGATAGTGAAGTGGACATGGATAGTGAAGAGGACATGGATAGTGAAGTGGACATGGATAGTGAAGAGGACATGGATAGTGAAGAGGACATGGATAGTGAAGAGGACATGGATAGTGAAGTGGACATGGATAGTGAAGTGGACATGGATAGTGAAGTGGACATGGATAGTGAAGAGGACATGGATAGTGAAGTGGACATGGATAGTGAAGTGGACATGGATAGTGAAGTGGACATGGATAGTGAAGTGGACATGGATAGTGAAGAGGACATGGATAGTGAAGTGGACATGGATAGTGAAGAGGACATGGATAGTGAAATGGACATGGATAGTGAAGTGGACATGGATAGTGAAGTGGACATGGATAGTGAAGAGGACATGGATAGTGAAGTGGACATGGATAGTGAAGAGGACATGGATAGTGAAGTGGACATGGATAGTGAAGTGGACATGGATAGTGAAGTGGACATGGATAGTGAAGAGGACATGGATAGTGAAGTGGACATGGATAGTGAAGAGGACATGGACAGTGTGAGCAAAAGGGGAGGGAGAGTGCGAGGGAGAAGAGGGAGTAGTACCTGCATGCTCACAGGAAGGTTGCACCTGCGTGCCATAAGAACATACCTGTGTGCTCGCCATACAATCACCATCAGAACATACCTGTGTGCTTGCCATACAATCCCCATCAGAAGATACCTGTGTGCTCGCCATGCAATCCCCATCAGAACATACCTGTGTGCTCGCCATACAATCCCCATCAGAACACACCTGGCCCCTATTGTGAGCAAGTACACGGCGCCTCTGCCTTGCACGGACTTGAGCAGCTCTGATACCAGTGCGGACCCAATCCCACGGCCTCTGGGAGAAAGAGAGGACGTAGGGAGATGGAGTGCAGAGCGGTTGGGACAGAAAGGTTTGACTTGGGCATGGGCGTGGGCATGGGCATGGGCATGGGCGTGGGCATGGGCGTGGGCATGGGCATGGGCATGGGCATGGGCATGGGCATGGGCATGGGCATGGGCATGGGCATGGGCATGGGCATGGGCATGGGCGTGCACTGCTAAAGCTGAAGCCATCCTCTTTCGCAGTGTCTTTCCTTTTGCCTCCCTCTAAAATTTCCCAGTACCTCAGACCCTGTGGTTCGGTTCCTAGCAGCCTGTGCCTTCCCATTATCTTACCGCAATTCCGGTAGCACCACGAGGCTCCTTAACTCAACAAGAGGCCCAGAGCCTGTCCCCGCTTCACCCTCCTTCTTCCACTCCTTCATCTGCCCCACACCCACCAACTGCCACCCTGCTTCCGCCCCCCCCTCCTTCCGCTTCTCCCCCTCTCCTGCTCCCTCTGCTGCTGCTGTTGTTGATGCCTCAGCCACCACAAAGCGCCAGACGTCCAGGCTTAATGGATTCATGCTGTATGGTTCGTGGGGACAAAGTGTGGGGCAGAGGAGGGGAGGGAAGAATGATGCTCATTCCAGGAGCAATCTGTAGAGGGGGGTTCAATACCTTAGCAACGCACACATTTCGTGCATGACATTGAAAGAATCGGTCAAAGATTAAGCAAAGAGAGAGAGTGAACGAGTGAGTGAGTGGATAAAGCAAATGTAGAATAAATCTAAGCTAATACTGGCATTACGATTCAGAGCGAAGAACCATGTCTCATTACAATTCAGACAACACCAGCCGTTGGATCGTCCCCATGTCCTCGGGAACGGCTGGGCGGAACCGAATGGCTGGGAGGGCGGCATTCCCCTCGGACGGGCGCGCGGATGCGGATACGCGGAGGGTGGGGGAACGGCGCGGGGAAGAGCGCAAGGAAAAAGCCGGTTCTTCCCATTGCGTGCTCCCCCCATAGAGAGTCTTTTCCGTTGCCTGCGGATTTAATCCGTGCGGAGTGAGTCTTTGGCGGAAAGCGGGGGAAGATGATAGGGGCAGTGACGCAAGAGAATGCGGGGGCGTGCGGGTAACGGCACGTGCCGCATTGCGCGGGGACGTGCGCGGGTCAATGCGCGCCGAATCCAATGTCGCGAGACGCGGGGAGCAGAGCGAGGAAGCGGCCGCCATTGGGCGGAAAGCGCTTTCAGAGGAAGACTAGGAATGCGGAGAAAACGCGGCAGGCGGAAGGCGGCGAGAGGAAGAAAGCGGAAGGGCTGAAGAGTGGTGGGGAAGGGAAATTCTTGAGTCGACTAAAAAATGTCGAGACGAGACAAGAGACTCGTGTGAGTGCAGATTGCGCTCAGATTCTTGATTCGCAATTCTTGTGATTCGACACAAGGAGAAAGTGCGGATGGAAATCTCTGCACAACTGGAAACAAAAGAGGAAAGTGAGTACACTCGTCTTGAACAATTTTGAATACAGTGGGTGATTGTCAAGTCAAGGTCCAGCAAAAGCTTGAACAGATGCGTTGATAAGATATAATTTCTGCTATCATTTCTAACTTCAACGAATGCATAAGCTTCATTACTCCGCACCAGCCTGACTACCAACATTCGATGCGAAGAGGCGAATAAGCGGAAGCAACGCCTCGGGCCTCTCTTCATGAATGGCATGCCCTGCTTCGTCCACTATTGCCACACTCACTGCACCGCCTGTTATAAGAACAGCCTTGGCTGCTTCTATGGGGAGCCCCAATGACTTGTCGTTTGTCGATAAGTCTGGAGAAGCCATGTTTGGTTTTGGGTGGACGGAAAAATGAGAAGACGGGAAGGGGGGAACAGGCAAGTGGTGGGAAAGAGAGGTAATGCTAGAGGAATCATGGAAGGAGAAAAGGCGGGAAGTAGAGGGTTGTGTGACACATGGTCCAGAACAGCCATGATATGAAGAAAGCCCATAAATACGTGTGTGCGTGTGCGTGTGCGTGCGTGCGGGTGTGTATGTGTGTGTGTGTGTGTGTGTGTGTGTGTGTGTGTGTGTGTGTGTGTGTGTGTGTGTGTGTGTGTGTTTTAATACAACAAGCCCATACCTGGAGCGGCACCAAGCGACTCCTCCAAATGCACTCGCTTCATGTCTGCCGCCCACGCACCATCAAACCTGCTGCTGTGCCTTTTAAGGCGCCTCAAAAGTCTTACCTGGAGCAGCACCAAGCGACTCTTCCAGGTGCACTCGCTTCATATCTGCCGCCCACGCACCATCAAACCTGCTGCTGCGCCGCTTCCCACCACCGTCACCACCACCACTCCCACCCACACTCCCATTCACCCCAATCTCCTCTTCAAACTCGTCCCCTTCCCCCACCACGTTCCCCTCGTACTGCTGCTCCTCCTCCTCCTCCCATGCCTGCCCGCCCAGGATAGCAGATTTAAATGCGGCAACGCTAGGCAGGTTGAGAGAGAAAGGAAAGTCTGAGTCTCGGCTCTCCACTGGCGAACCAGCTGGGAAGAAAAGCTCCTGATCCTCTTCCTCCTGCTCCTGCTGCTCCCGGTCCTCCTGCTCTTGCTGCAGCTGCTGCTGCAGGGTGCTGGCACGGCCGCTGCTTGAAGCTGCTGCTGCTGCTGCTGCTGCTGCTGCTGCTGTTGCAGGGGCAGCTGTGGCTGTGCTCATCTGGTGGGCGATAGAGACGAACTTGGAGTCGAGGGAGCCAGCCACGAGCAGCAGTGGCGTGGACGAGGTGGTGAGCTCGTCCCAGAGCGAACTGCGAGGAGGAGAGGTGAGGATAGGAGAGAGGGAGGGAGGTGGGTGGGTACATATGAGGCTTTGACAGTGATGAGAGCACGGTTGTCTTCCAGTGCTCAGTCAGGCCTCTGAGAGCCACAGTGACAGCTTGCAGGGGACTCTGAAGAGCGATACAGAGGAGCCGATGTACAGTGCAAAGCAGGCAACCCGCAACTGAGAACAGGAGAACGACTGCTGAGAAGTTGAACTAGTACAAAACGTACGGTTGTCTTCAAGGTGACTGTTGAGTCGACTCAAAAGAAACTGGACAACGGCTGCTGAGAAGTTCAACTACTACAAAACGTACGGTTGTCTTCCGGTGCTGAGTCCTCTGAGAGCCATGGCCAGGCCTGCCTCTGTGCCCCCAGGAAACACCACCATGGGTGGACCGGTGCCGTCAGTGCGGGGAGAAGTGTGGGAGGCGGAGGGAGAGGAGGCGAAGCGGCGGGCAAGCATGGGCTGGAAGCATGGGTGGGTGCGCAGGCTGTTGGGGGGGTGGGGGGGAAAGGAGAGAGAGAGAGAGAGGGAGTTTAGTGCATGTAACTTGTACCACCCTTTAATTAATGCAAGGACCATTCGAGAGAGAGGGAGGAGAGCGAGGGTTGTTAACTGAGGGGGGGGCGGGGGGGGGGGGAGGAGGTGTACTTTGCAGAGGGTGGTTTTATGAGCTGCAAGCAATGCGCAAATCTGTATGCATGGCAGAAACACTATCCAGAAGTTATAACGCCTCCAACCAACCTACCTCAAGGAAAAGGTTGTGACTCACTTGCTTGACGCTCTAACCTGGCCAACAGTGGTTGCTGGTACCACGAGTGAGCATACTGCTCCAGGTCACAAGTTATATCGAAGTTGCTTTTGAGATTTCTCAAAAGCAATTCCAATATAGATCATTCAGGCAGAAGGTTATGACTCTCTCACTTGACCCACAGTGGTTGGTGGTACCACGAGTGAGCATACTGCTCCAGGTCACAAGTTATATCGAACTTGCTTTTGAGATTTCTCAAAAGCAATTCCAATATAGATCATTCAGGCAGAAGGTTATGACTCTCTCACTTGACCCACAGTGGTTGCTGGTACCACGAGTGAACATACTGCTCCAGCCCACCAGCCATCGGCGCTGCTGCTAGCGAATCGTCACTCTCCTCTCCGCACCTAGCCCTCAACTTATTTGTCAAAACAATTTCTTAAAGCAGGAGCCAAGATGCCATACCTGGCCCACAGTGGTTGCTGGTACCACGAGTGAACATACTGCTCCAGCCCACCCGCCGTCAGCACTGCTGCTAGCGAATCGTCACTCTCCGCACGAGCAGCACGAGCGGCTGCTTCTCTGATCCCCGGGCTTCCCGATATGATGACCGCTGACGAGACCTGCGAGAACAGGGTGCGGACATGGCATGGGTGTGGAGGGGAGTGTATGACATGTGCCATGTGGGAATCTGAGACGGATGAAGTTGGGGATGGGGTATACGAGGAGATGGAATGAGAGAGGGAGGAGAGGACTGATTAGACCCGCTTGGTTTGGGGCCCCTCAAAAAGTGTTTCATGGATTGTTCACGAGGATGGTACAAATTGTTTCAAGGAGAGTGGGCTCTGCTTTCACCAGGTGTGGATGGCGGGGAGGCAGATAGAGGGCGAGAGGAGCCTTTATTACTTTGTCAAAGATTGACGCGCCGTAAGAAATTGGAGAGTGGGCATGGTGCATGTTGTCTCACCAGGTGCATGTTGTCTCACCAGGTGCATGTTGTCTCACCAGGTGCATGTTGACTCACCAGGTGCATGTTGTCTCACCAGGTGCATGTTGTCTCACCAGGTGCATGTTGACTCACCAGGTGCATGTTGTCTCACCAGGTGCATGTTGTCTCACCAGGTGCATGTTGTCTCACCAGGTGCATGTTGACTCACCAGGTGCATGTTGTCTCACCAGGTGCATGTTGTCTCACCAGGTGCATGTTGTCTCACCAGGTGCATGTTGTCTCACCAGGTGCATGTTGTCTCACCAGGTGCATGTTGACTCACCAGGTGCATGTTGTCTCACCAGGTGCATGTTGTCTTCACCAGGTGCATGTTGTCTCACCAGGTGCATGTTGTCTCACCAGGTGCATGTTGTCTCACCAGGTGCATGTTGTCTCACCAGGTGCATGTTGTCTCACCAGGTGCATGTTGTCTCACCAGGTGCATGTTGACTCACCAGGTGCATGTTGACTCACCAGGTGCATGTTGACTCACCAGGTGCATGTTGTCTCACCAGGTGCATGTTGTCTCACCAGGTGCATGTTGTCTCACCAGGTGTGGATTGCGGAGAGCTAAGTAGAGGGCGAGACGAGCCCCCATGGAGTATCCCACGAGCACTACCTTTCCTTGTTGCTGCTGCTGCTGGTGTGCAGCTGCGGTTTCTTGCAGTTGGGCAAGCAGCGATGCAATAGCAGATGCTGTTTCTTCAAAAGAAAGGGCCGGAGGAAGAGGAGAGGAGTGAGAGGACGCGGAGGAGGCTAGAGTGGAGGAGTGTGCAGGACCAGTGGCGGAGGAAGGGGGCTCTGAGATGGTGGGATGTGCAGGGAGGGCGACAGTGGTGGAACCATGGCCGGGTAGGTCTACGAGGGCGCAAGGGAAGGAGAGAGAGAGGGAGTCGGCAAGGGGAAGCCAGTCAGCGAGCGAGCCAAGGAAACCGTGTAGGAAGACGAGAGTTGGTGGGGGGGTGGCTGGAGGGAGAGACGATCTAGAGGAAGAGAGAGGAGAGTCTGGGGAGGAGTGCGGGGAGGAAGAGTGCGAGGAGGAAGGTGTTACTAGGATGTTGAAGTCAACCGTTCCCCCGTTGCTTAGCGTTACTGTTTCTCTGCGTTCTTCCCACTTTGGACTCGCTGCTGCTGCTAACTGTGCTACTAACTCTGCTGCTCCTTCTGCTGTCGATTCTGCCTCTTTCCTAATTGTTGCTTCTTGATCCCTGGAAGCAGCTCTCTCCCTTTCTGTCCCCACAACAGCAGCTGAATCTGACGTGCCAAGCACTCCACATGTCAGCATCCCACTGGCCCCACCAACACCAGATCGCGCGGAAAGCAGCACTCCAAGCTGGCCGTCTGAACTCCTCTCATCAATTAAGAGAGGAGGAGAACGGGAAACCCTATCCAACCCTTCCGCATACGCACTTCTCTGCTCTCCCCACTCCACTTCTTTACCCTTCCCCTCCGGCTCCCCCTCCTCATCCGCCTCCTCCCCCTCCTCCTCCCTTCCTGATCCATCCACAAGCCACTGGAAAGTACCTAGCCCATGAGCCACAGCAGTGGGAGACGCAGGAGGAGACTCAGGGGGACTTGACGAACCAGAATCCTGTGCTTGCGATGGTTGCGGGGACGGGAACGGGTGCGTGTCGAGGAAAGCAGCAAAGTGGCAGAGCGAAGCAAGCCCGTGCCGGGACTCAAACGACGAGCTCACGATGCACTCCGCGCCGAGCAACGCCGCCCATCTGGCCACCACTGCCGCCACCTCCATGCCGCCCAGTCTAGACGGCTTCACAACGACTGCTGCCAACCCCGACCAGTCGAGAGAAGCGGAGAGCGCGAGAGTGGGAGTGTCATGGGAAGGCGGGAGGAGAAGCGCATCGTCTAAAGACTCGTCCAGAGCGAAAGGGAGACCGGTTGCCTGGTAGAACTCGGAAAGAAGATGCAGATTCGGAACTGGTTCTTCTATGAAGGCCAGGTTGCAGGATGCTACAAGCCGGCCGAACTCCACAGCTTGCGGCAAGGACCAGCTTCGATTCGCGTCGACTCTGAGGTGGATTCTCGGGCCTACTGCTTCACGGACAGCCAGTACCATTGCTGCGTCTTCTGATGGGGAAGCGCGTCTGGCTACTTTGATTTTGAGGGCTGTGAAGCCGAGGGAGTGGACTAGGTGCGCTGCTGCACGGGACACGGAGGGAATGGACCCCCTGGAACCGTCCAGCAACCCGCAGCACCGCACTCGCACCCGGTGGGTCAGCCCGGGGGGTTGTTTTCGAGGAGGGGGGAGTAGCATCGAAGGAGGAGGAGGAGGAGCGGGAGTATTTGTGGCAGGAGGAGGAGCAGGGGATTGCGAGAGGAGGTGGGAGAGGGAGGTGTTGTGGGCAGAAGCTATGGCAGAAAGGCATGCGGCCTCAAGGCCAGCCCTCACGCTTGAATATAGAGATGCTGGCTGCTTGGGAGAGGGGGAAGAAGGGGGGGTGGGTGGTAGGGTAGGCAGGTGGGCGGGCGGGTGGGCGGATGGGAGAGAACAAAAGGCCAGTCAGAAGACAAGGAGGAAAGAGACAGGGCGCGTGGGAGCAGGGCCATGAGGAAGGTGGGAAAGGAAGAAGTGTGTGTGACGGCTGGAGGTGCAGGGTGACGTGCTAGGAAAGGGTAGCATTGGAGGGGAAGCAAAGGAGAGGAGCGAATTCTGAGACCACTGAACACTGAGACCATTCACAACTGAATGCCGGGAGCATGTTTGAGGCGCCTAGAAATTCTGAACACAAAGACTGTGGCAGATCCAAAGGGAGTAGGAGCCGTTGAGTAGCGGCAGGGAAAGTGGTAAGGCAAGAGCTGGCCGGACTGCTCGTGTGTATCAAGACTCTAGTAGCGACCCCGAAACGCCTCAGCAACAACTTCAGTCCCACATGAACACAGAGACCGTTCCCACCTGAATGCCGAGAGCGTGCCAAATCCAGAGGGAGAAGGATCCGTTGAGCAGCGGGAGGGAGAGAGGCAAGGCGAGGCCTGGGAGGCGGTGCGAGAGCAGACACAGCTGCTCGTGCGCGTCTAGGAAGGACTCTGGATGCAGGCCTGGGAGAGGGGAGACCTGTGGGATGTGGGGGAGGGACCGGGGAGAATTGCAGGAAGAACACGGGAGCAGAATTGTGGGAGAGCAGGTACAGCTGCTCGTGCGCGTCTAGGAGGAGGGACTCCTGCAGACGTGGGAGAGGGGAGACCCGGGAGAGGGGAGACCTGCAGGATGTGGAGATGTGGGCGTGTTGTGAGTGAGTTTCCTCAACACATACAAGAGCAGACACAGCTGCTCTTGAGCGTCTAGGAGGGACTCTGGATGCAGGCATAGGAGAGGGGAGACCTGTGGGACAGGTTGAAGGGTTCTGTTAGCAGGACTCAAGACGCTTACTATTGAGACCACCCCACCACCAGCACAACCCCACCACCCATGCCTCTTCCACTACGTCACCTGTGCCCAGAACCACCTCCTTCCACGTAATCACAAGACCCTTAGACCCTGTACACAAGACCATTTCACCTCACCCCCACCATTCCACCACTCACTCCTCTCACAACCTACCTCGCCTGTTTTTTGAGAATTCTCAAAAAACATACGCACTCACAACCGTTTTGTTTGAGGTTGATTTTGAGAATTCTCAAAATCAACCTCAAACACCACCACTCACTCCTCTCACAACCTACCTCGCCTGTGCCCAGAGCGCCCCCTTCCATATTGGAGTGACTTTTGAGAATTCTCAAAAGTCACTCCAAAAACATACGCTCTCACAACCTACCTCGCCTGTGCCCAGAGCGCCCCCTTCCAGGCGCACATGCAACAACAGCCCCTCCCTTTCTGACTGCGGCAGTGCTGCTCCAGCCACATCCACTGACGTTGGGGGCTCCCTCAGAACCACCCTGGCGGGAAGCAAAGGACGGGAGGTTGGAGAGGCAGGGAAGACGGAGAAGAGGGAAGTGGGAGAAGGGAGCAAGCGGACAGGAGGTGAGGCTAGGGAGGGATGCTGTGAAGTCAAGGGAAAGACAGAGATGCTTTTGAAGGGAAGCAGAGGGGATGGAACGGAGGCGAGGAAAGGAACAAGGGGAGGAAAGACGAAACAAACCAAGCAGCGATGTCAGCAGCATGCTAGCAACATCAAGCAGCGTGCTAAAAGCACAGGCCCTCCCAATTCAACACCTCCCCTCCCACTCCTCCCTTCCATTTTCCTTTCCCCCTTCCCTGGCCTTCCACTCACCTGATTCGTTCAATACTGGTCTCTGCCACAACAAGTGATCCACTATTCCTCCCACCGCTCCCCTTCCTGCTCCCCTCTCTATTCCCCTCCCTGCTCCCCTCTCCGCTGCCGTCTCCGCTCTCGCCACCAGCAACCCCCGCTCCCAACCCAATCCCCTCCTCTCCCCCACCCCTCTCCCCTTCCAACCCAGCACGCCCGTCCCTCTGGCTCAGAAACAGCGAGAGAGCACGGGCAGCAGTCGCCCTAGCAGCGGCCTGCAGGAGGCGGTGGGAGAGCACGTTAAGGTGGATGGGGGGAACCTGCACCTCCACCACCGCATGGCGATGCGTGGCCCATGCTGCCTGCAGGGACGAGAGGAGGGAGGTGCGCGTGGTGGCCCGGAAATACGCCACTCTGGGAGGGGGGGGGGCGGAGGGAGCGGGTAGGGGAGAAGGGGGAACCGGGAGAGGAGGATCTGAAACTGGTGAGACGAACTGCACGCACTTCTTCCTGGCTTTGGAACGGCGGGAGGGAGAACGAGGGGGAGCAGCACTGCCAGCAGCAGCAGTGGTCCTAGCAGCGGCCTGCAGGAGGCGGTGGGAGAGCACGTTGAGGTGGATGGGGGGAACCTGCACCTCCACCACCGCGTGTGTGACGGTCCTGTCCTGTCGGACTGGTGTGGGGAAGAGTTCGAAGAGCAGCACACGTTCCACGAGCTCACACACACAGTGCGACGCTACATACATACAGATACTCACGACTCACGAGCCAACAGGCTGGTTACTTACCTGTTTGATACGAAAGCACATCTGCTGTGCCCTCTGACCTGTGCGCCTTGCAGAGGTGGTGCAACTGCACTTGGTGCGGCGTGGAGAAGAGATCCGATCCGAGATCACCACGCTGTCTCATCAGCACACACACACACACACGGCACACTGCTACAGGGACTCAAGCACAAGCCAACAAGCTGCATAACCACTGTATGATTCTAAGCCACCGCCACCCCCTCCCCACATCCCCCTCACCTGTGCGCCTTGCAGAGGTGGTGCAGCTGCACTTGGTGCGGCGTGGAGAAGAGTTCAGAGAAGACATGTGAGTCCAGCGTGCCTGCCACTGGCAACAGGCTGAAGATGCCACCCCCGCCGTTGTTCACCACCACCACTGTCACCGGCGGCTGCCCTGACCTGATGCGCGGAGGGGCAAGGGGGACGGGGGAAGGATGAGTCTGTAATGGAGGTAATATAGGCGCTTCTAATGAGGCTGAAGATGCCACCCCCCCCCGTTGTTCCCCACCACCACTGCCACTGGCGGCTGCCCTGACCTGATGCGTGGACGGGAGGAAGGGGATAAGGATGGGATGGAAAGACAGATGAATCAGAACTACACGAGCAGACAGGAGTAGTAAAAGGAACGCATCACATACACTACGGCTTTCCCGCACAGCACCGCACCGCACAGCACAGCACAGCACAGCACAGCACAGCACAGCACAGCACAGCACAGCACAGCACAGCACAGCACAGCACAGCACAGCACAGCACAGCACAGCACAGCACAGCATGCCCCTGTGCTACCATAGGTGCATACACACATACCGGGCAGCAGAGAGAAGAGCGAGTGAGTTGGAGTCGTGCAGGAAAGACACGTCACCAATCAGCAACGATACCTGGAAGCAGGGTGGGGCAGGGCAGGGAAGCACGGAGAAACAGCACGGTTGCAGCAGAGCAGAGCACAGGGGGACAAGCAACACAGGAAATGCAGCGTGCAGCCTGCAGCGTACATTGTGAATGTAAGTCATACATCATGCATCATACATCATGCATCGTGCGCATGTGCATGCAGCATGGGTACCGGTTGCTGAATGCCCGCTGCAAAGCCAACAGCCGTGCTGACCACTCCGTCAATCCCACTCGCCCCCCGGTTCCCCGCCACTCGCACCCCGCCCCACACTCTCTCCCCACCTCCCTCCTCCCACGTCCCCAAAAGCCTCTCTGCAGCTGCAGCACCATTAGCAGCAATAGCACCAGAACCAGCAGCGGCGCCAGCAGTAGAAGCCGCAGCAACAGGGGGATGCGCGCGGTGAGGGGCAGAGAAGGGGGAGGAGGAGGAGGGAGCAGCAGCGTACATGTCGATATCTCTGATGGGCATGCTGTTCCCCAGGAACAGGGCATGGCCGTCAGGCAGGCATGCTGCCACGGTGCGAGCTACCCATGCTTCATCAGGCACTTGGGAGGGGAAGTTCAAAGCGAGGGAAAGCTCTTTGCCAACCTGGAATGAAGGAAGGGGTGGGGTAAGGGGATGCAGACGTGTCAGAATGGCCGTCAGGCAGGCATGCTGCCACGGTGCGAGCTACCCATGCTTCATCAGGAACTTGGGAGGGGAATTTTAGAGCAAGGGAAAGCCCCTTGCCAACCTGGGAGGAAGGGGTTAGGTATGAGAATGAGACTCAGACTTATCGTTCAACTAACCGCCTAAGTGATTCAGAATGCCGGACAGTCAGGGATGCTGCTGGAGTGAGTCAGCTATCCCTTGGTACATCACATCACAAATAGAGGAGCGGTGGAAAAGAGAGGCGGCACAAGAAAAAGGTTGCAGAAGGTTCCTATAATAGAAATCTCAAACACTCATGCAAGCTCTCAGGTAGATACCCTGGTGGCAAGGACTGCTGGTCCCTGGCGTGTGTTAGATGCCCATGAGCTGGGCCATGTCATGTGCTGTGCATGCGTATGTGCCTGTGCATGTGCATGTGCAAGTGCATGTGCATGTGCATGTGCATGTGTGCATGCGTACATGTGCACATACTCGCTTATCAACACCCACCGCATCAGAAAGAAACTCCACCAGAGCTGCATGCCCCATACCCTCCTCCACAACCCCATCCCTCTCTCCCTCTCCTCCCCACTCTCCGTCTCCCCCTCCTCCTCCCCCTCCGCCTCCCACACTCCCTGCTCGCCCCATGAACGGCAGAGCAGTTGCAAGAGCAGAGGCGAAGGTAGGGAGAGGCATGTGGAGGCGGTGCGAGACAGCATGGGCAGGGTCGATGCGGCGAGGTGAGGGGTTCACGAGGATATACGCACGGAAGGGATGAGAGGAGGAGGAGGAGGGGGGAGCAGTGGCTGCTGCTTCCACCATTCCTGGTAGTCTCTTGCCCACCAGAGGGCCTCCTAGCTGGAAGGAGGAAAATGGGGAAAGGAGGGATGGACGGAAAGGTTTCGGTTTGGACTTATTGTGCATCTGAGTTTCGAGTTTGCTTTCAGGTGGTAGTCTTGCTCTACTTCTCATGGTGGTAGTCTTGCCCTAAGCTCGAGAAGACCATAGGGTGCTCTGAATCGCCACCTGTTCTGAAAGTCTCAGATCTCAGAGCTCAACAACTATACGCATCCGGCCAGTCTTACCTGCAATACCGCTGTCAGCTAGCCACTCTCATCAATCAGCCATACCCCGACCACCCTCTCACCTGTAGCACAACATCAGGAGCCACAGCTTCAGCTGCGCCCTTATCCAGCAACACATGATCCAGATAGAATGCTCCTACCATACCACTCTCTCCTCCACACCCACTCGCCGCCACCCCTCTTTCTCCCACTCCGCCTCTGTCTCCTTGCTCTCGTCCTCTCCCACCTCCCCCACTCCCCCTTTGTGTTCTCCACACTCGCAGCCCTGAGAGAGCGTCAGCAGCCACTGGCCATTGCAGGCACTTGCAAACGAGTGACGCCGCCCAGGCGTCGCGCGCGGACGGCAGACTGCCGACCAGGATGATGCCGCGCTTTGCTGAGCGCAGAAGAGACAGCACATCTTGGAACTCGGCGCTTAGTGTAACCATACTCGTGCTGCCCATACTGTTGCCAATGCCCGTATCCCTGTGAATACCCATGCCAGCCGCAGTGTTCCCCATTCCTGTTCCCATTCCCTCTGCTCCTGCCCCCATCGCTGCTCCTGCTGCCACACCGGCACTCAGAGAAGCAGGCAGACCAAGGCGACGCAGAGCAAAAGCAGGGAGCGAAGCAACGAAGGAATCAGCCTCAATAGCAGCAGAAACCACAGCACCAGCTGTGGTCACACCAAGTGGTTGCGAGAAAGGCTGGACGGAAGTTTGCCAACGATGCAAGCCTGCCAGGCAGGTTCGGCTCCAGGGTTGTGGGCTGGGCGCCAGAGGCTCCCGGAATTGCCAGTTGAGGTGCACCGGGCCTGGAGGCTCGGCACAGGCTCGGAAGGCAGCAGTGTCGATGGTGGTGAGGACGAACCTGGTGGGTTGTGATGGAAAGGGGGAAGGAGGAAGGGGAGGTGGGGGAGAGAGGGAGGGAAGGATGGGGTGAGGGATACATGGAAGTGGACGGGGCGGATAGGAAACGTGTACTGCTTCTTTTGAAGTGCAGAGGCGGAGAAAGAAGGCGAAGAAGGTATTACTTCAATCATCAGAGAAGAGAGAAGAGAAGAGAAGAGACGAGAGACGGACCTGGCAGGGACCTTGTCGGAAGGTGCTGGAACATCGGCTTGATAGCGAACAAAGGTCCCGAAATGATGCACCTGCAGAGTGCAGAGGGATAGACAAGGAGGAGCAGACAAGGAGGATACAGGGAGGAGGGGACCAAAGGGCTTATTTGTTGGGATGGGGAGATGGAGACAGCGATAAGACAGTGTGCTGAAAGAGTGAGTGAGAGAGAAAGAGAGACTGAGAAGGAGGGGGAAGAGAGGGAAGAGGGGGAAGGAGAGGTACAACAGGTATGTTCGCAGAAGGGTGGGCTCATTGGGTTTGCTGCTGTAACAGGATAACACCTGGTCAGGAGGGTGGGGCTCGTCAGGAGACCCACCTGGTCGATGGTCTGGTTTGCAGCTGTGTCGCGCAGCTCGGCAGGTCGATCGGCAGTGAGCACGAGCAACGGCACGTGCTGCTGACTGGCTTCCACCACCTGAGATGGTCCATCGGGGAATATTGGTGGTGGCGCGTGCAGAAAGGGATGGCATGCGGTTATGGGTGGCACCGGAGCAGGCAGGAGGAAGAAGAGCAGCTCACTGCAGGAAGGAGGTTGCAGGAAGGAGGTTGCAGGAAGGAGGTTGCAGGAAGAATCTCTGGGCCAGATGATGTAATGATGGCAGCAGGGCGCTATGTGTTGTCAGGTGAGTTCGATTCATGGCTAGAGTGGCCACAGCAGGGGCAAGAAGAGGAAGACGAACAGGTCACAGCAGGGGCAGGGCAGCAGGCAGGGACAGAGGACAGAAGGTTACAGCAGGGGTGGACAGGAAGAGCGAGATGAGATGAGAGGCTCACAGCAGGGAGGAGGTTGGAGACGGCAGTTCCGGAGGAGGTGATGATGGCAGCGGGGCGGCGGGCGGCCATGGCGTAGCCAAGGGCGTGGAAGGCGAGGGAGCGCTCGTCAATGGCCACCACGGTGGTCACGAGTGCGTTGGTGGCCGCTGCTATGGAGAGCGGGGACGAGCGCGACCCCGGCGCTATGCAGAAGTACTGAGGACGGGGGGAGTGCGGGGGTGGGGGGGTGTGCGGGGGTGTGTGGAGGGGAGTGGGTGGGGGGGAATGTGGGGGAAAGTGGGTGCAAGTGGGAGGGAATGTGGGGGAGAAGGTAAATAAGGCGCCTCAAAAACCACAGGGCCATGGGTGGGCACATGGATGGGCGTAGCCAAAGGCGTGCAAGGCGAGGGAGCGCTCGTCAATGGCCACCACGGTGGTCACATGCGCGTTGGTAGCCGCTGCTATGGAGAGCGGGGACGAGCGCGACCCCGGCGCTATGCAGAAGTACTGAGAGGGGAACGGGGGGCCGGGGAGGTGTATGGGGAGTGGGGGATTACGAGTGTGGGGGGTGTGTGGGTGGAGTGGTGGGGAGATTGTGAGGGGGTGGGGGAGGATGGAAGGAGGGGGAAGATTGGAGGGCATGCGAGGGCGACAGGGCAGGGGGGTCTGTGGAGAAATGGGACTGTGAGACTGATAGCCTTTTTGTGGTTATGCATGTGCGTGGTGTATGTGTGTGTCTTGGGAAGGAGGGCAAAAAGAGGGTGTGAGGTACATGCGTGTGTGTGCATGTGCATGCCATGGGTGTGCGTGTCCCTGTGGCAGTGATCCATGCATGCACCCACCGTGATCCCAAGTCGCACACACTCCTCCACAGCCATGCGACACCACACAAAGTTTATATTCGGCTGCCCCTCCAAATCCACCTGCCCGGCTGCTACTGCCCCCGCACCTGCTCCCCCCCCTGGGACAGGAACAGGGGCTCCCCCTAGCAGCGCCTCAAACTGAAGGGACGAGGGCATAATAACAGAAAGATGATAGGGGGATACGGGGATCAGGGAAAGGAAGTGCGAGCAGAGGTGTTGCTGGGTGTTAGAGAGACAACACACAGCTGTCTTTTCTTAATAATTATCATATTACGAAAGCGACTGACCCCATGAGAGGCCTTTCCCCACCTCACCTGTCGTGTTTTCAAGTTGAGTTCACTCCACTCAGAAGCTGCCTTTGCACCCTTCACCACCCCCACTCCCGCATACAGCAACACTCGCCCACCACCCCCACCCTTGTTCCTCCTCTCCCCTTGCTCCTCCTTTCTCTCTCCATCCATGCCCTCAAGTTGCTCCTCCCATGGCGCCATGCTGGCTCCTGATTGGACGAGCGCGGATCGGATGCCCACTGCAAACTCCGAAGCATCGGCGCCGAACCACCCTACAGGTCCGGCGTACAGGCCTCTGTCAAAGGACTCTGAGGGTGGGAAAGGTGAAGGGATATGAAGGGCGGTGAGGACGGAGATGGGAGAAGAGAAAGCACGGAGGGTGGGGACGAGATTTGAAGCGTCTCAGAAACCACCACCCTACAGGCCAGGCGTACAGGCCTCTGTCAAAGGACTCTGGGGGTGAATGGGGAAAAGGGGATGAAAGAGGGTGAGGACGGAGATGGGAGAGAGAGGGGGGCGGTTGAGGTTGGAGGGGAGGGGGGAACAAACAGGCGGGATAGGGAAATGTGCCAGGTGTACTCAAGAGCTAACGGGTCTGGATGCATGGCAGTACGTGAACAGGGTCTGGAAGAAACGGGGGCTCGTTTGAATGAACTAGGCTGCAAGGAGGACTTGGATGGAGGGCATTTGCATGCAAGCACAAAAGGTGGGCGCTGCATGTGGTGTTGGAAAAGGGTGTATGGCCCATGGTGAGAACACAGACAGGGAGGAGAAAACGGACATTTGACTTGATTGAGAGAGGGCGCACCTCCCTGTGGAAGGGGACTGCTCCCTGTGGAAGGGGACTGCTCCCTGTGGAAGGGGAAAAGGGTACCTGCGAAGCGGATAGCCTGCTGGGACTGCTTCTGGGGATGGCCGGCCACAGCTGGTGTTGGGTGCAGTGAGGTCAGCAGGTTGAACTGGCAGGTGCGCAGAGGGGGAAAGGGGCAGGGGTGACAGAGGTGAGGGGGTAAATAGGGTTTAAGGATATCACAGGATAAAACTGCATGTCTGTCTGTACCCTGCCTGAATCAATACAAAGGACCGTTTGAGAGGAAGAGAGTTGAGGGAAGCAGGTGAGCATGTGTGTGCCTCCTGGATTTCCAGCTCGAGCCATGAAGCCCTCGAAAGGAGGGGCAGAGAGGTCAGAATCATCCGGTCCAAACAACAGCTGCTCCTTCCAGAATCATCAAAAAGGGTTCCTTCCAGAACGAGCTGTCGCAGAGTCGAAAGCCTATCTTAGTGCCCCAACAGCCATTCTCCTCCTCACTGCCTGCGGCTGGCCTGGCCTTTTCTGGCAACAGGGATTTTGATAGGAGGCGACATGCGTGTGTGAGAGAAGGAAGGGGTTAGGCAGACGTGTGTCATATCACATGTCCCGAGGCAGGTGGTGGAGAGGAACGTGGGTGACCTTACCTCCCCTCCCCTGCAGTCAGCAAGAGGTGAATTTTAAGCTGGCTCTAGAGAACTGGCTGACTGACTGCTGACCTCTCCTGCAGTGTTGAAGAGGCGGCCATTGATGCGAGCGTAGAGGTGCTGCACCCTGTGCTGTGATATGATCCGCTTGTACTCCTCCACTTGCACCCTCTCACACACGCCCTGTTTGCGTTGAGTGATTGGCCATGCACACATGCATGCATACATACAGACATGCGAGAAGGCATGCACAACACACACACACACACGCTCGCGCGCACGCACGCACGTGCACATGCATGCACATGAAGAGATCAACACATGGCACATGGAAATGGACGTCTGCTGCTGCACGCAGTGTAGACACATGCAAAAATCAGGCATGCGCGTATGCAACAGCAGGCATGCACTCGCACATACACAGTACGCCATGATGTGATGATCGTTTTTCGCATCAACTCAAGGGAAAATCGGAGCTTACCGCTAGATGTCTGTGCACGCTCTCTCGCACGATCTCAAACTCCTCATGATCCTTGTTGCTGGATTGGGAAGGAGGGGAAAGTGGGGAAAGGCACAGGGGTATGACAGAGAACATAACCGAATGACCGGAAATAACAGGTGGTACGATAGGGAATGACAGGAAACGGGGGAGGAGGACAACTCAACACCACACCACTCGCACCTGAGCAGCAGACCGAGGGCAATGCTGTGGTCTTCAGCTGGTGCCTGAGCTCTCGCCCGCGTTGCTGCCACCGCCTCACTCGTCACTGCCAGGCCCTTGCGCGCAAACAGACGCTCGGGCTGGGAGGGGGGAGGGGTTGAGCGAAGGGAATGATTGGCTTGAAGAGTTTTGAGACGTCTCAGAACTTGTAACTGCCTGGCCCTTGTGCGCAAAGAGGCGCTTGGGCTGGGGGTGAGAATGGGTTGAGAAGGCAGTGAGGGGCTTCGAAAGGGTTGAAAGGAAATCGAGTATAACTTGAAGGGGATTCTGGAAGGAACGTTTGGCAAAAACAGGGGGGAGAGTGTGGAGAATGAACGGGAGGAGAAAACGCAGGGGGTGTGGGGAAGGAATGGGGGGGAAGGGGAGATGGGGAAGGGAAAGAGGGAGTGCCATGAAAGAGGAGCATAAAGGCCAACGGGAAAGGGTGATGTGAGTGAGAGTAGGAGAGCTTGAGCATATGAGAGGGGGAAGACTGGCAAAGGGCGAATAGCGAACGGCAAATGGCGAAGGGAGCACAACAACTGAGTGAGGATGGAGGGAGGGACGGACCGTGGAGGAGACAAAGGCACAGCCTGCATGAGGCTCCAGGAGAAACTGAAAGGCGCTGGGATCCCTTGCCTGATGCATTCATGGGTGCATAGACGAATTGGTGGTCGGATGGGTGAAGGTTTGGTGAATACATGCGCGAGTTAAGAGTGGTGGGGAGTTACAGTGAGGAGGGAGAGGGAGAGGGAGAGGGAGAGGGATGGGGGGGAAGGGGATGGGAATGAGAAGGCAGACAGAAAAAAGAAGGATCAGGAAGTGAGGCTCACCACACCACGCCACACCGCACCACACCACACCACACCACGCTGCACCAAGCATAACCACACCACAGCAAACACAGCCAAACCACACCACACGTGTGCATGCGCATGTGTTGCCTCACCTGCAGAGCTCCCAGCAGCACAACCGGGTCAACCGGGTCAACAGTGGTCAAGGCAGTGCGTCTAGCCATCACCACTTTAGACAGAGGCATCTGGTCTATCCTACTAGGCTCAAGCATCCACGGCTTATCCCCCCAGCTCTGCTGGCTCTGTTGACTCTGTTGACTCTGTTGACTCTGCTGACTCTGCGTCCCAGCCCCTCCCTCCCCACGCCCCTCCCTCTCTCCCCCCATCGCTCCCTCCCCATCCCCAGCTCCTCCCGCGCGCCCGTCTCTCTCGCCCCCCTGTGTGCCTCTGTGCCCCAGGCTTTGGAGTGTGCGCTCTACAGCTAGGTGCCACAGCAGCTCGTCTGGTGCCACTGCTTTGGAGGTGACTTGTGTTGAGATGCGTGGCGGATGGGGAGTGCTGAAAACAGGACGGACCTGGGGGAGGGAACATGTGGGTGAGGAAAAGCGGATGGGGGAAGGGGATACGGTTCGGGTGGAGATTGGGATTTAAAAGCTCTAAAAAAGTCTGTCACGTGAAGAATACAGTCCGTTCTTGTTCTCTTTTCTAAAGATTGTACAACACTCAAGGGAAGGATTGCCTCACTCCACCCATCCTGGCGCTTCAACAACCCTCACCAGAGACAGAGCCTGACGCGCTGCTGTAACTGCCTCCAACACAGTGGCTGCTGGCCGATGCCGTGACACGGAGGGCACAGAGCTACCCGCTCCCTCTGCGGCTGCTGCTGCCGCCGCTTCTACTGGTGCTGCTGGTGCTTGTGCTGCTGCGTCTACAGGTTCTGCTGCGTGCTGGAAGAAGGGGTCCCAGAGCACGTGGCAGGCGAGCACACTGCAGTCCTCACACTCCCGCAGCTCCACCTGCAGGGCAAGGGTGAGGGGTGGGACGAGGGTCGGGTGAGGGCCAAGCGGACAATGGGTTGAGGGCCAAGCGAGAGTGGGAGGGGAAAGAAAAGAGGCTACTGATCGGAGGAGATTATTGGGCATGGGAAGGTAGCTGGAAAAAACAGACAGCCTGGGAGTAAGTACGAGGGGGATGGATGATGAGGAACAGAAACGTGCCAGAATTCCTGCGACAGTCTGGCACGTCACCAAGAGCAAGCACCAGACAGTCTGGCAGACGTACGAGGGGGATGAGGAAGAGGAAGGTGCCGAAGGGGGCCCACTCATGGGCCGTGGGTGCCTCTGCATCAAAGCGAATGCCCCCAAAGAAGCGCACGCTTGGGGATGAGTCTGAGAGGTACCTGTGGGCGAGCAACAAGAGCATGACGGTGGATGGGGTGGTGGGTGGGTGTCATATAGAAGGCCCTCAGGGGTGGTGGGAAATGGATTGTATAGCATGAGGGTGGATGGGACGTGTCGCAGTGTTGTGAGTCAAGGACCACAGGGATGGAGGAGGAGATTGCAACGGATTGAAGTGGAAGCATGGGGATTAAGGGCGTCACAGAACAAGGCCGTGAGCAACAAGAGCTGTGAGCAATGAGAGGGACTCGTGGTTGTAAGAGAGCAAAAGGGGCTCTCTGCTGCACAAAACAGCAGGTCGTTTGAGAGCAAGACGGCCTTAACGGACAGAATACCTGCGGATCTGTCTCCAATGCCTCGCCTTGAACCCCTCACTCGCCCTCCCCCTTCGATGAGTCTATTATTCAGTCGACTAAAAAATAGGCTCATCACACACAACAGCAGGCTGTATGAGAGAAAGACGCATACCTGCGGATCTGCCTCCAATGCCTCGCCTTGAACCCCTCACCCTCCCCTTTCAGCATCACCGCTGCACCCACACCCGCCACCGAGCCTATTCCTGAGCCATCAATGCCGGACCAGCTCGCCCCGTCCGGCGCAGGCTCGGAGGGTGCCTGGGCGGAGAGGGAGCGGGTGCCCCTGGGAGCGCGGGGGGAGAAGTAGATGCGGGGGGAGAGGCCAGGGGGAGGGGAGGGGGAACTGGACAGAGAGGATGCCAGGTTGGCTTGTCGTGCTGCTGCTTGCGCTGGTGGTTGCTCTACTGCGGGTGCTACTGAATCAGTAGCTGATTGTTGCCCTGATGCTGCTGCTGCTGCTGCTCCTGCTGCTGCTGCCGGTTGTGGTGGTGATGGTGCTGGTCGCTGTGCTGCCAGCCATGCGAGGGCATTGAGGTCAGGAGGAAGAGGAACCTGGTCGGTGGGCGACAGGAGAGAGGACAGCACAGTACAGAGGATAAGGATTCGTTTTCAGCGTGACCAGCAGAGTCTAGACTAGGGAATAACCCAGGCGAGGACAGGTACATAGCGCATTGACCAGGGCAAGAAGATACTCTCAGAGACTAGAAATAACAGAAGATTGTGCTTGTTCTCTTGATATGGATGTGCTTGTGAGCGTTTGACAATTGAACGATCAAACAAAGCACGGTGGCTGGAGTGAGCAGCAGAGAACACAACTCGAATTCGAACTGGATCACCTTAGGAGCAAAGCAGGTGTATTTTGAGCAGCAGACGCACCTCAAGTCGAATTACCCCAGAGGGGAAGCAGGGCGGGGAGGCGGCGAGGTTGGAGAGAGCAGCAGAGAGAGCAATAATCGCATCAGGAAGCGACAGGACCGGGGGCAGACGGCGAGTCTCGTGCATGGAAACCGGCACCTGGAGAAGGGGAAAGGTAAGGAGAGAGTTTCAGGAGGTGATTAAGAAGATACAGACACTGTTGGAGATATAGGAGATAAGAAGATACAGGAGGAGGAGATATCGCGCGGGGAGAGATAGTGGAGCATTGCTATGCTGTCCCGGGGAGAGATTGATAACGGGAGACGTATGAGAGAGCAAGGCCAAGGGCGAATATACGACAGTTTATTGCCTCAAGACGAAATAGTGCGTGTGGAGGGACTAGACTCGGTCATGCGAGCGTCGATCGCGCATACCTCCATGTGCGGCGTACTCGTGCTGTTGGCCGCGGCTGCGCAAATCACCCGCAATTGGCTTCGCGTTCCCGCCGATCCCCGTGCTGCACTCCCCCCTCCGCTCCCCGCGCCGCATTGCGCATTACGCGCTTCGATTTCCTCGCGACGCCATGGATTAAAGAGGAGATGCTGACCCCAGAACGGCGATTGCAGGGATACACGGGACGGAGTCAGGGAAACACGAGGAGACGCTACGAGGGGATGTTGGAATTGTGAGTGTCTGGCACTGGCTCCTTTTCTCTGCCTCTGTCCTGCACCCGTGAAGCTGTGTGCAAAGCCGGGGACGAGAGACGTCGGGGCGATACCGCTACACGCCATTTAGCTTTTGGACCTAGGAACAGCAAAACCTGGAGTTAAATCGGTCTATGGACGTGATAATTCGCCATCCACGAGGGGCTTAAATAGGTCTACGGAGCTGTTCGGCTAGGTGAATGTGATGTGCATATGATACTCAGTTAGAGCATATAACGTGCTTTCCTCGGTCAGGACTAGTCCAACTTGGATCCGCGCATAAAAAACACGCGACGCTACGCTGATCAGCGAGAACGTCCAATTCCGCAACGCGCAGCCTTCTTGATCAGCATGGTTTAGCAGAACTGAAGAGGGAGTCGAGCCGATCAACGTAAAAAGCGCAATGCTCTCAGGCAGCAAAGCAGGCAGCTTGGAAAGAAGGGAGGCAACGGCAAAGGATGGAGGCTTTTCGAGAAACTTAGATATCTTCAGTGCGGTGAGGTAGGGTTCTACTAGGTAATGGCTTTATTGGCTCGTGGTTTTCCAGGTTCCAAATTCCTGTCTGGGTTCAGGAAGGGAAGCGCGGGAAATTGGAAAAGGGCAATTTCGGGAGGGCCAGCACACGTCAGCGAAATTGCAATCCTGGCATTATCCTTGGTTGGGGTCTTCCATACGCGATAGGGACCGATTGCACTTGGATTTTGGTACTAGCTTGCATGCTTCAGAATAGGTGGTAAATTTGAGCTATCTAACAGACTTAGGGACAAATCCTTCTACAGGATGAGAGTGAGTAATATGAGATATTACAGGCAGGTGATTAAGAAGCAGTGGTATAAACTTTATTGTTCTTCACTGCTTGATTTGCTATCTTTGCGACCCTTCTTTGTCCCCTTGGCTGCCTCCTTCACCTCTCGGTTGATTGTGCGCAATTGTGAAAGCAGCTTGGTTTGAGGAGGCTTCTGTGACTCCACATCTACCAGCATGCGGTTGAGCAGGTGGAAGAAGTAGCTCCCTGCAACGAGGTACTCCTCATATGCCACTAGAGTTTTAGCACGGTCTGCAGGCGTCTTATCACGCAGAAGCTGGAAAAGGCAGGAAAGGAAAACCACGAAAAGAACAGGAAACAAGGCACGTTACAGCAGAGAAATTTTCTACGCCAATGGCATAGCCAGCAGAAGCACATGAATTTGACAGCATTGGGGTAGGGAGTCTTACCTGGTTCAGCATGCGGATTTCTGGTCTGAGTGTCTTTTCTTTCTCCACCATGGCCACTTTCAGCACTGTCTCCAACTGCTGCACCACCTCAGGGTTGCCTTCCTTACGAGCCTGGACACAAACGGTACAGCAATCACAGATGCAAGTCAGCTTCCCACGGCAGCTGTCTTCCTCCACGATCAATCACTCTCGCATCCCCTCACTCTCCTCTTCCAATCCTTGCTTCCCTTCTTCTTCCTCTATCCATCCCTCCATACGTCAAACTCTCAACCCCCTGTCCCCCAATCAACCTCTCTCTTCATCTGACAGTCAGCAGAGAAAGGGAAAAGAAAGACGATTGCAGCACATTAACGGTCCTACCATGTCCACGTAGGCGGATGCAACCATGAAAAACTCCTCCGACAGATCGTCCACGCGCTCCCGTACAGTGGCCTCCAGCTCCTTGGCCTGAAGCAGCTCCGCCAGCACCCTCGTTGCATCCACCTGCACTCGCCGCGACTGCGAAGCCATTTTCTCCCCTGGGTGATGCAGGCAGAAGCAGGAAGATGCATGACTTATTGACAGGGTTGTTTGAGGAATGACCAGTCACTGAACAGGTGAGCTACCGCTGCTGTTGTTGGGGGCAGTGTCAGATTTTTAAAGGAAGGTCAAGAATGAATGATGACCTTGCATGTGTGTTGTGTGTTGGGACGGAGCGGTCAAGTGTGACTGCACCTATAGGCGTCTAAGGACTCGTATCTGGTGTTAACGTGTTGGTATCTTCATCTCGAAAACAGTAACTGTGACAAATGATTGTCATCTAACACGAAAACAACACTTCGAGTTGATTCTCCGTCTCATGACTACTACATTGACATAATGCCAAAGATTTCTTTTCTGCTTATGTATATGAGGCCGAGGACTCGTACTTTCACGGAATTCAAACTCACCACCAGCAGAAGCATGGCAATGCACAGGACGCGGAACTGACGTGTCACTTCCACCACTCAGGCGCTGCCCTTGGCCACTGATTTGCTTGAATATGCCATGGTTTCCCGACGCAAAGAATGCCGTGGAAGACTGGCGGAGGATGCGTGACTCGATCGACAAACGCGACCCGATCGCCGCGGTATAGCAAGCTCTATCCGCGAGAAAGCCCACGGTCGCAGTGAAGGCGACAGCCATTGCCAGTGCCCAGGCGAGGGTGCTAAAGCGAGGTCACGAATGCCAAAGCAGGCAATGTGCGTGACAGGTCAAAATACTGGAGGTATGAGATAATATTGTTTGTCAGATTCTTCAAGACCTGAATTTGTTTAGTGGAGATCGAAGGTGAGTGGAAATCGACGAGTGTGCAAGTGTGATTGGCATAGCTTGTTGAGAGTGAGCAAGCAGGTGAGTGTGGGGGGTGAATGAATGTGGAGTCAGCAAGGTGACCTGGCGGCGGATTGCTGGGTGGCTTGCGAAAATAATATTTCCACGTGGCGGAAGAAGAGGCACCGCTGGTGAAAACCCTCAAGATTGAGAAATCGATACCTTTTGTTGTATTGCAGCTGTACTTCCATGACTGACGTTTGTTTGTGTCTATAAGGAATGCGTATATAGCTCCAAAATCTCACAAATTTATTCTGAATACATAATAGGTGTGATACGTAACGATATTCATAAATTGAGGGCTACATGCGTACAGTGAAGTTTGCTTTCCTGTAAATTGGAAAATGGCAGAGTTTGAACCCATTGGTGAAAATATAAGACTAAGGATTTGACTAGCAAAATCTGAAACAGTTGAAGAACACGCAAATGCGGATCTACTACCGTATGATCTCATCGGGCGGACAATTACGGGGAGCAGGGTCAATGGCTGTGTGCGTGTGTGTTCTGGGGTTGCTACCAACCAATCAGGGACCAGAGAGGAGGCCTTTCAGCCTTCCTTCCCCACTCCGCCTTCCGCCTTCCGCCTGCCCCGACCGCCTGTACTTCCTCCCGCTTGCTTCCTCGGGTGATTTACCCTCTGCTCCACCATAACCCTTGCTTCCCTGCTTCCACCATTCTTGTTCCCGCTCCATCCCACCCGCATCGACCCGCACGCACTTCGCTCCCACGAGCTCCCCTGCTCTCCTCGCCTCGCACTCGACGTCGTCGCCATGGCCGCCGTTGCGAACTCCGCGCGCCGCGTGCTGACCGCTGCGGCTTCGGAAGCCAATGTTGCTGTGCGTCGGTTCCACGCGGCACCGACTCGCAGCGCTGCAGCGGGATCTGGAAATGTAGGTCGCGGCTACAGTGCTCACAGCATGCGGATCTTCTCTTTAGTTTAAAAGTTACGCTTGTTTGACTCGCCTGCGTTCTGATTTTTGTTTTATTTTATTTTATGTTATTTATTTCTTCCTTTTCTCCTCGATTAATCTACCTTCCACCAGGAGCCTGCCTACCTCCATGCCCACCACATGTACGACATCCCCTCGGTACGTCCTTCCTCCCCAGCTGCCTGAATCACGGTATCTTCCTCGCGTTCTCGTGTCTTTTTGTTGATCCATCGGCACTTAACCTTGGCTCAAGCTCTCATCGTTATTCCCCGCTTCAAAATCCGCGTATTGATGTCGATTTCTCTCCCACTATTGTGTTTACCCGGCGTTGATGTCAAATCTACGTATCCTCTGTGAATCTTGTCTTGGATCTCTCTTGATGATTCGCCTCAACATTTCTCGTCGTTTAATCAACTTACTTATCCTGTGTGATGCGTGCCTCGATCTCCTCTTTCAGATCAAGAACCGCAAGCTGAAGTTCGGCGTTGCAGTCGTCGGCTCTGTGGCCTTCGGTATAGCCGTTCCGCTCATCGCCGTCTGGCACCAGCAGTACGCTTCCCCCTTTCCCTTCCCCTCCCACCCTCCCCTTCTCCCTTCCCTTCCCTTCCACCCCCCCCCCTTCCCTTTCCTTCCATTCCCTTCTCTTCCCTCCCTCCCCTTGCGTTGCTTTCCCTTGCCTTGCTTGCCTTCCATTCCCTTCCCCTCCCTTCCTTTCCCTTCCATTACCCTCCCCTCCCTTCCCCTCCCTTCCCCTCCCTTCCCCTCCCGTCCCTTTCCTTGCCCTGCCTTGCCTTGCTTTCCCTTCCCTGCCCTTCCCCTCCCCTCCATTCCCTTCCCTTCCATCCCAACGTTCCGCTTGTTTCCCTTCCCTTCCATTCCCCCCTTCCATTTTATTTTCTTTCCCCCTTCCTGGTCCCGCTGTTCTCATTTTCCTGCTCATCCCCTTTCCTTCCCTCTCTCCCATCTGATCTGTTTGCTTCAGGATCAAGGCTCGCGGCTGAAGTGCTGGGCTGGGTTCCACTGCTGCTTTGATGAACCTACCGTATTTGAGAAACCACAGGAACTAGCTGTAATTGTAGCAGGTTGAGATAAAAGTCCAATGCTTGATAAGGTCCAACTCTTGATGCAGCAGTGTATATTCCGATCAGTCTCCAATCAATAGATTAACCCCTTATGTCAGGTTCATGATGCCTGCTCCAAGGGTGCACTTTGGGGGGGGGTGGAGGCAAAGGTTTATCACTTGCCTCACCATCCGTCGTCTGTTCCCCCAACCCAACTCTAGGACGAATTATTTTTATGTTCGCCAGCACATTCTCCAACCCTCGCTCTAGTGTTTCATATGGTTGGACTCTTAGCCAACCATTCACAGCACCCCAAGGGGTGTACCAAACAAATACACCCGAAACCCACCCCTAGGAATGTGCACCCTTGCTTTAAACCTGAACTGTTTATGAGTAATAATTGATTTCCACGTATCGGAACAACCAACATCGAACCAGAAACATCAAGCTGCTCTGTCCCATGGGCTGCCTCCATTTCTCAAAACAGCGTCCTCTACTCAGCTCTGCGCCCACCCCGTCCCAGCAATGGCAACCGCCGAAACCGCTGTAGCAAGCGGCTTGCCGCCCCAATGGCAGCGCTGGTTCGACAGCCGTCTCGCCGCGCTCCACACCCACTCCCTTCTCCGCCGCCTCCGCCCGATTGACCTTATCCGCGCGCCCGTTCCGCTTCCCCCCGCGCTGGTTTCCCCCGGCGCGGTACCATCTTCCGGAAAATCGGCGGAAGACTTTGCGCGGCCCCGGGAATGGGGGGTTGGCGCACGGGATGGGGGGAATGTGGAGAGGGCACAAGCAGGGGAGGGAGCGGATGAGGATTTAATCGAAGCGCCATGGTGGGATGTGGCTGCAGTGGAGGTTCTTATATCGGAAGAGGCTTTTCAGCGATGGCTTGACGAACCAGCAGGAGACGGCGGGCACTGGTTCCCATTACCCTCTATACAGTCACACGGAACACCCGGCCTTCTACCATCCGCGTTTTCCACACCTTCCAAGCCTTCCCCTTCATCAAACTCCCACTCCTCGTCTTCCCCTTCCCCTCACCCTTCCCCCTCCCCTCATCCACCCTCCGCCAATGACAATTCCCGCGCCTCCCCCCGCCGTCTAGTCCTCTTCTCGGCTAACGACTACCTCGGCCTCGCCTCACACCCGCGCGTCCGCGCTGCTGCAGCCAAGGTGTGTGTGCGAGTGTGTGCGACTTTCGAGAGGCCTCGGAATTTTACTATCTCCGCCTCGCCTCACACCCGCGCGTCCGCTCCGCGCTGCTGCCGCCAAGGTGCGTGCGTGTGTGCGTTTGTACTTTGTGCGTGTGTCTGCTGACGTCAGCCAGCGGATAACCAACCAACTGGCGTCTGTCTGCTTTTCCAACCGGTTGGTTTGTGTTTGAGCACGAGATCGATCTCCCCCCATCCAAGTCTCCTCAACCCCATGCAAGCATGTGAGCAAGGCATGGGACTGCAGACGACTTTGATTTTTTTTTTTCAGAAGCTCCTTTCGTTTCCTCCCCCCCCCACAGGCAGCATGGCAGCAGGGCATGGGTCCGCGGGCGTCTGCCCTAGTAACTGGTTTCACAACGGAGCATGAGGGGCTGGAGCATGATATAGCACGGCTCAAAGGCACACAGGTGAGCGCTGACTGCCATGCCATGAGGGTCTGGGCTGGAGCATGATATAGCACGGCTCAAAGTCACACAGGTGGGTGACCTGGACCTTCAGGGGGAAGGATCTCTCAACCTTGTGTGAGGCGACAGCATCATTGCACAGTTGCTGGTAAGTCACTCCCCCTCCCTCTCTCTCCCTCCTCTTCTCTTCTCCCCTTCAATATAACCAATTCCGCTTCCCACATATTCATCCGCATCCTCCCCCACCCCCCTCACCCCATCCCTCCCCTCTCCCATCTCCCTCGGGACCCCCCTTCCTATAGCAGGCATGTCTACTCTGCCCGACTGGTTTTGCTGCCAATCTTGCTGTTCTTGCTTCTCTAGCGCCAGTCCCTCGCTCCAAGAGCAAGGACAGAAGCAACAGTAGGAATGGCAGCGACAGCAATGACAGGAGGGGGAATGGGGCCATTGCTGCTGGTTCTGAATGTGCCTCACGCAGCGAGAATAGTAGCAGCAGCAGCGGCAGCTTTAGAGGCAGTGGTGGTGACAGGAGTGTGGGCCACGGGCAGAGGCGAACAGAGAGGGTAGAGGAGGGCCGTGTAGACTCCTTGAGTTCAATTGGGGAATCAGACTCGTTGGCAGTGTTTTCAGATGAGCTGAACCATGCCTCTATCATCGATGCCTTGCGCCTGCTGCTGCCGCGCTCAGAGAGGGGCAGTGCAGGGGAGGGGCGCGCTGGTGGTGGTGCTGTTGCTGCTGTGGCGCTGCATGTGTATCGGCACAACGACATGACACATCTAGATCAGCTGCTGTGAGTGGGAGGATCGGGGGAAGGACTTTTGAGGCGCCTCAAAAGTCGTGCTGGTGTTGCTGCTGCTGTGACGCCGCTCAACGACATGACGCATCTGGACGAGATGCTGTGAGGGAGGGGATGAGTGAGGGGATGAGTGACAATGATTGTGATAAAGATAGTTCCAGCATTTTGCTATTGGCGTGTCCTGCAATTCTTTCATTCTTCTTGGTCGTTTGCGCTTGGAGTTTACTTTTTAGGCGCCTCAAAAGTCCTGAAATTCTTTCATTCTGTTTGGTCGTTTGTGCTTGGAGGCCAAAGCGTCTGCTTGTGCGTTTCGTCTATCGCCTGACTCCCTACATGTGGCTACCATTATCCTTGCTACTCTATCCCTCTCCCCCTTCTGATCCTCTTCCTTCCCACCTAACGCATCCCCTTTTTTTCTCCCCCTTCTTGTTCTTTACCTCTTCTCCAACTCTCTCTTACCGTCGCCTACCCTCTTCTGCTCCATCTACTCACAGCACCGCATCATCTGCTACCAGAAAGCTAGTCGTCACAGACAGGTACACTCTCCTGCTTTCTCCTGCTTGCCTGCACGCACTCTCTTCCCTGCACATGCACTCCCTATCCCGCACGTGAATTATCATTGCTTTCTACCCCTCCTCTCGTAGTTCTATAGAAGCCTTCCCTCGTCTCGTCCCTCTCCAACCCCGCCTACCCTGCAGCAGGCTATAGAACTATTCAGCACGCATGCTTGCTCGTCGCTGCCTCGTCCATCCCTTCAACTTTCATCTCCCCTCTGTCCCTCATCCACCATCCGCCCCTGCAATCTCTTCAGCATGTATGGAGACTTTGCTACTCTGCCTGCCCTCGTGGCCCTCAAGGCCAAACATTGCTACCTGCTTGTGCTCATTCAACTTGCTCCAGCACTTCAACTTTCATCTCCCCACCATCCGCCCCTGCAGTCTCTTCAGTATGGATGGAGACTTTGCTCCTCTGCCTGCTCTCGCAGCCCTCAAGGCCAAGCATGGCTTTCTTCTCGTGCTCGATGAGGTTCGTCAGTAGCTACCATGCTCTGTGCCATGCCATGCCATGCCATGCCATGCCGTGCCGTGCCATGCCGTGCCATGCCATGCCATGCCGTGCCGTGCCGTGCCATGCCGTGCCATGCCATGCCGTGCCATGCCGTGCCGTGCCATGCCGTGCCATGCCATGCCATGCCATGCCATGCCGTGCCGTGCCATGCCATGCCATGCTGTCCCGTGCCATGCCGTGCCATGCCATGCTGTCATCGCAACCGTCAAGGCCAAGCATGGCTTTCTTCTCGTGCTTGACGAGGTGCATGATTATCTATTGCTCGTGTGCCATGCCATGCTCTGCCGTCTTGCCTGCATTTGCTAGTAAGAATTCTCAAAAGTGATTCCCCATGCCATGCTCTGCCTGCCATCGCTGCAGCAGAGGAGACGGGGGTAAAGGCAGGCAGCCGAAGCTTTGCCTCACATTCGTCTTCTCTTCTGTGCGCACCCCTTCACTCCCTGCCTTGCATCCATCTTCTCTTCTCTTCTCTTCTCTTCTCTTCTCTTCTCTTCTCTTCTCTTCTCTTCTCTTCTCTTCTCTTCTCTTCTCTTCTCTTCTCTTCTCTTCTCTTCTCACCCTTCTCTCCTGGTCTCCTTGTTGCCACCGTTGCCACTACCTTTCATGCAGGCACATGCGACGCTAGTGTGTGGCAGCACGGGCGGAGGAGCAGCGGAAGAGATGGGTGTGAAGCCGGCAGTAGATGTGCATGTGGGGACACTCAGCAAGGCTGTGGGCTGCTTAGGGGGCTACATCGCTTGCTCGTAAGGGGTGGTTGGGAGAGAAGGGGGGAAGGGAGGAAGTCGTGAGTGGGAAGCGAATAGATTTCCAACCTATGAACCAAGCATGATAAGTCGGTTCTGTCGTTTTCTATTCGAAATTTTCTCAGCAACGCTGTGTGCTGCTTGTGGGCATGCACTGCCTTTTGGTTGAGCCGTGGCCCGTGGGGAAGGAAACGACCCTGTCTGATCGATCCTCTGCCCGCTTTCTTTTCCTCACCTGCGGTCTTGCCAGCCTTCCTAGCTCGCTGCCACCGCCCTGTGTTGCACGCACCCTCACCACAGCGCTCCCCTGCGGGACTTCTTTGCTTCACGTGGCCGTTCCTTTATCTTCTCCACTGCTCTGCCTGTCCCCGTGGTTGCTGCTGCCAGAGGTGAGACGCCTGTTGCTCGTTGGTCGCTTCTAACTGTATCAACACTCAACATTCGAAAAGTGATACATGTATCACCACAACTCTACCTGTGCCTGTGGTGGTTACTGCCAGAGGTACAACTCTCACTGCTTGCTGCTGCCAGACGTAAGACTCCTGGGAAAGGTCTGGAGAAGGCAAGGAAATCCTCTCCCTATCATCTCCACTCTGCCCCATCCCTCCCTCCCACCTCTCTCTTCTACCCCCAGCGGCTCTGGCAGTGGCAGCGGAGGAGCGGTGGAGGCAGAGGGCCGTGTGACGGCAAGTGAAGCAGCTAGGGGAAGGCCTGGGAA